ATTTTTAATTTTATTTTATTTATACACACTCAAATGTTTACCAGGTAGTACCATATGAAAGAGCTTTGAGGAAGGCTTAGAACCCAAATTTGGTATGATACTTAGATGAACCCTGGAATACAAAGTTTTCAGTTACAACAACTGGGAATGCAAATCGCAAACATTTGGCATAGTAGTTATCCAGCACACTTTCTGGAAAATACATACAAATGATTTTCCCTTTAAATTTGATATTAAAGTCAAAAGGTTTTTAAGCTATTTCAAATGCTGATGAAATTATTATTATTATACAGGATTTATATAGCGCCAACAATTTGCGCAGCGCAAAATGGATCACTTACAATGGATGCTGCTCCTTGATGTTTAAACGTTTTAGCTTCCTTTACTTTAAACCTTTAAATTATTTTTAAGAATATTTGTCTGAGGGGGTCATATACAGTATGTGGTAGCACTGTCCCATTGCAAAATCCTTCTTGAGACCAGTAAAGTCACTGCTGTGTTCTGCGTTTGCCTGGTAAAAAAAAACTAACCCCTTGGTCAGCCTTATTAAGTGGTATCTAAGAGCAATGTTAAAGGTTGACTGGAAAGTTTTCTTGTATCTCACATTAGCTGCAAATAGACCATCATAAAGCTATAGCAGAGACAGGGCATTCCTTTACTGATCATTCATAATTCAAGAAGAACTCTGGACAAAATGCTGGGGGTTGCTTGAGAGTTAATATTAACTCTCAAGCAACCAGAAACTGCAGTTTTACGGCATCTACCGATCCCAGTGGGTGCTGGATAAGTCGGAGTTTACTGTGTTTATTTTGAGATAATGGAACACTTTTACACATAGGTTACCTTGTAATACCATTGTGACTTCTGAAGGCAATGTAATACACCAAAAGCTATACAAAACTGAACTCTGGGAACAAAAAAAATGTACCTCTTTGCAGTGGATTCCCCTTCACACTACAATGGTAAACGAATAGAAAGATATACTTGCCTCATTCATCATTCCCGCAAGTTTCCTTCATATTGTGCAACTGGCTGCCCTGTCGCAGCTCTCGGATATCATCCTGTACTGCTAGTCCTGCATTGTACAGAAGAACCTTGAGGACCCACCCCCATTCCAAAGCATTGGACAGCAGAGGAGCCAGCTGGTAGGTACCTTATTCATCATCCCCTAGGCAAAACAAGCAGTTAACCCTTGCAATGGGGACCCACTGCAAGGGTAAAACGTTTTTCCTCTGGCATTCAGCTTTAAGACATTTATATAAAAGGGTAACAAATACTTATGCAATCAAAACTTTTTAGTTATTCAATGTATTTACATTGCAGGATGCCCCAATTTTTTTAATAAAGTGAATCTGGCTAAAGTCAAATGCTATACCCAAATTTACTTGACTGTTCTCTGTATTTAACCCTACTGTAACCATGTCCAATTAGTATTTCCTAAAACTTTCCCTTTTCAATGATGTGAATCTTATTTATGCTCCGTCACCCTAGAAGCTTTCTGGTGTTTAAAATAATTTACTCTTGGAAAGCTTTTCTGCTCCCTGGAAACTAAACAATGAGCATGTAAGGGCCTCATTTAGGAAGCATCAGATAGCATTTTGCATATAATTTCTTAGGAGACAACAGTTTAACACAGACAAGTCTTAAGAACGGATAGCTATATGCAAAAAGCTTCTGTGATGTGTTATTTTTCAAGAATAACCTTTGATGCCCATGCAAAAGCATAAATATTGTGACCAGACATTGTCAACAGAATGTTCCTACTTGGTTTCCACCAAACAATTTGGTTAGGCCTTGTTCACACCAAATGCAGACCAGATCCAGTAAGGTTTCTGCACACGCAGTGTAGTGGGTTGTGCCGCGTTTTGGATGCGTTTAGGGCCGGTTTTGGTTAAAAAAAGTTTAACATGGACTTTCAGGCACTTGCATGCGTTTTTGCATTTTAGATGCGTTTTTGATGCGTTCCAGGCCAGATCCAGAGCAGGTAAAATAGGGCTTGCCGCATTTTTTTCATCCGGTCTGGATCTGGTCTGGATCCGCACGCTGCGATGTGAACTGGAGGTCAAAATACCATAGGAATACATTGGACGCAGTTTTGATCCGGTCTGCACCTGCTCTGGTCCGGATCTGCTCCGCGCTTGGTGTGAACAAGGCCTTAAACTATATAAGCACAAAATACACCCAGCAAGAATCAAAAGTACAATTTTATTGTTGATACAAAAAAATCACAGAACTTACTTTTCATTGGAACTTTCCATTTTTTTACTGGACCGTGCAATGCTGCCAAAGATGACATCCCTTCAGCTTAAGTAAATGCACCTAATTAGTCCCCCCAAAATATCTTTATTATAACTTTCCAGCAGCATGCTTGGCATTTTTGATCAGTTTGTACATGAAGGAATAGAAGAAAAGAAGATTGTCATATTCACCACGGTAGTCCTTCTCTAGAATCTGTATGTGATAGTCCACTATAAAGTAATAAATGGCCTCTATTGTTGAGAGGTAAGTGTCTGGCGTTCCTTTCTGATGTCGCCAAAAGCAAGTCTTTCTTTCTGTCATTTCAACAGTCACAAGTCCTATTAAATTATAAAAAAAAAACAACATTTTTATGTGACTGCATATATGCAAGTGGCAGAGATGGACAACAATGGACACTGTGACTAAACGGAGTCTTTTTAATATTTAGAAATGGAATCAGCTTCATATAAATGATCTTATCGATGTTCCCTCAATACAAATCTATCAATCAGCTCAGGGTATAAACAATAACATTTTGTAGGTGGCTTAATCTGAAAAGACTTGTTTATACCAGCAGTACCTTGCATTGTTACAATGCAGAATACTAACCTTGTCTGACTGTTGGGGGAGGGGGGGGGGACTCTACAAAAGCAAAAGAGTATGGTCAAAAATTGCCACAGATGACTGTAACCGACTGTTTTAAATAATGATGCCTGCAACTTACTACAAAAAAAAGTTGCAAAGACTCATTATGGTGTTGAACATGTAATGGTTTTTGAATGATCAAGTGTAAGCACAATTAGACTGCAGATTCTGATGGGAGGCGGTGGCCTGCAAAATCACAAGCTTCTGGCTGGGTGTTCCTAGTTACCAGAAACCTCAGATACTGACACAATTTTGTCACGTGCTGTACACATTAAATGCCTGGACAAAAAACAAAAAGCCTTTGGCAAGAAAGATACAAAATGTTCCAACTCCTTTTTCTAGTATTTTGCGTAACGGTTGCAGACGATAATACAAACTAAACAAATGGATATCACTTTCTAGTTTGCTTGATTAAAAAGAAAAAAAAGGGCATTTATATGTTAAATCACATTGAAGATGAAAGTACTGTAACTGTATCTAAACATTCAAGTGTATCTAAACCAAAAAGGAACAAAATCCTTTATTCTTACCTGGTGATCTGGCCTTAGGGTGGCTCCACTCTATGAAGGAGCAATGGAGCCACCCTTGGACAGCAGCATTGTCATCACACGGAGAGGGTAGTACGCACTAGCAGATTTAGATGGACTTGGCTAACAAATTAAATCCGAAATCCAGCTAACACTTTTTAAGAAGTTACATTAACAGTGTTTCTTTCCTTTTGGGATAGGTTCTACATAAATGAATGAAAGCTGATCATTGTAAGCATCCCTGCCCATGTTAAATGGTTTCTCTCAGTCCTTTATCTGCCACTTCTGACGGACAGCTTGGTCGGTTAAAGGTTGTTGAATAAAACAGACTTACTGGCTGGATCACCTAGTATAAATAAAAGGAGAAACAAAACCTAAAAAAATAAGGCAGCCATCACATTTAGAAAATGGAAAGCAGCAATATATTAAAATGTTTGCTTTGGGGTTTAGATATGCTTTAATACAACCTGTAGACTACTAAGTAATGCTTTGAATAGTGCACAAAACATTTTTGCCATGTAATGCTTTGTCATAGAATCCGAAAAATTAAATACATCTGGTTAAAAAATAGTAAATAGCAGATGTTAAACGTATCCCTTGTTTTTACATATGTCGGGCAGGATGTGAAAATAAATCACTGTTCCTTGTGATGAATAATTTATTTCGGCACTGCTTTTGATGATTTCATTTTTGTTATTTGTATATTTCCAATACAGATGTAACCATCACCCCCAATCTCATCACAATATGTAAAACATGTTCATATAATTTATGGCAAATAAAACAGCATAACTGCATGCTAGGAAAACAAACACATGCTTTTTCAAATTCTTTCTTCCGAAAGCATAGCTGTCCCTCCTGCTTTTGTCCGATTCTACCCACATATAGCACTGATCCCTTTTGAGTGATCAAAAAACAATTCTATTAATTCAGTTTGTTTTTTTTTGTTTTCAAACATGCAATTTAAAAGGCTGGTTCACATGCTCTTCAGCGCGTTCCAGTACGGTTAGTGGCCTAAACACATTAGATTGCATAATTAAACCTCCCTGCATTCTGGGGTTGATGGTGCCATTCAAGTCAATGGCACAGCAGCCAAGACTCCCGCCCCATAGTGGAATCGCACCCACCAGAACACGTGGCGCAGCAAACCAGGCCTAAAATGTGCATTTTAACAATCTGCAAAAATGGCTCTGGCAGCGACAGAGTTCATTTTCAAAGTTTGCAACACAAGCAGTGAAGTATTAGCTCTTTCTCTATTACTTCCTGTGTCACCTTAGGACCAACAATTCTCAAATGTATGCTCTAAAATGGCATTCCAGGGTTGGGAACATAAGGATACAGCATACTTGTCACTGTGTTCTGCCCTACCAAGCCACAGTGTTCTCATCTATTATATTTATCTTATTTGGTCCGCTAAATATACAATTGAAAATGTTTTGTTGTATCTGTTTAATAGGTTCAACGAAAAAATATTTGTTTATCTTGCTGCAAATCTTCCTGCGCTTTTTGCCTATGCAGACTGTTATTAATTACATTGTTCTCTGAAGACTATAGAACCAGCCCCTCTGTTATGTAGAAGAGGAGAGGTGGGTAGGGTCTTGTACTCCTATCTTGTTTTTCTTATGGAGTGAGCCTTGACAGAAAAAGAAGTACCTTATCCTTGGACTCATACTCATTAATGATAGCATGGAGAATCTCCTAAGAAATGGAACAAGCCGAAGCACCCTTCCAGGAACATTCCAAAATGACAAACAGGAATCTGACTCCCCAAAAGAAGCTGTGGCATTAAAATAAATCCTAATAGCTCTCACCACATCCAGACAAGGGAGGAAAATATCCGTAGGATGAGTTGGAACTGGACAAAAGAAAGGCAAAACAATGTTTTAATTTAGATGAAAAGCTAAGATGACTTTGGGTAGAAAGGAAGGTCTTGGTCTCACAATACCCTTGTTCTTGTGGAGCACCAAAAAGAGTTTTTGAAGCAGCTAGCGTCAAAACTTGCCTTGATGTTGTAACCGCCACAAGGAAGACCACCTTGTGGAAAGGGTAATTTGTCCTAATTGCCTTAAAGGGAGGCTTTCTGAAAAGCTGATAGAACCAAGTTCAAATCTCAAGGTTGGCGTGGTGGCCCAATTGGGGGAGCGCTGCATGACCCACTGGACAAGGGTGCATCGACGTGTGGTCAATGATCTTTGAAAGGAGAAGACACATAGCGGACACTAAACTGAGCGAGATAGTTTATCGACGATTACGGCCCCTAGGGGTTGGTCTCCAGTTTTGGTGCCTAGTGTCAGTATAACCCATGGTTTATGAATAGTGTGCTGTGAATAGAAGTTCTGTGTCCCTCAATGGACTAATATATATGTCTATTGAGGGATGCACGAACACATATGTATACACACACAAACATACACACACACTTCTTTGTGTATTTCAAAGCTATATAACTATTTTTACCTTGAAGTCGTTCATCTGATATGATTTTATTAGTCTGATTCCATGTGCTGTCAATAAATACAACTCTCTTCAAACAATCTATATGCTTGCTTTCAGCGACTGCATCTTTGTTTTCACCAGTATTAGTTTCGTTTTCTAGCTTTATACGTTTGGTTAATGGTTCACAGTCTTCTTTGTGGCTACTCTGGTCAGTCAGGTATATCAGGCTTTCTCGGAGGGAGACAGAATTTGGACTTGGGAACACCAGAATAATCTGGAAAATTATAGATAATTATTTAGTTACACAATGCTTAGAAAACATAACACAACATTTCTAAACGTAACTCCATTCGTCATGTAACAGTCTTACATGACGAAAAGAATTGCAATTCATCTTTAAAGACAACACAATCAAGTCTTGTAAGGCCTTAAAAATATAAAGTTGAAGGCAAATAAGACTATCCTTTAGTTACCACAGGCATTGGAGAAGCCAATGCTTCTGGAGCTATGCCGAAGATCAGACTGACACTAACTGTTGATGAGCCAATGCTTTGGTAAAAACTAATTGCCATTTATAATATGTAATATTGGAAATGTATCCATGATTGGTCAAAGGAAATAATAACCTAGTAGTAGATTGCAATAGAGTTTTAAGGCTGGATTCGCACCTGTCCTTGTGCATTTGTGTGTATTTTTTGTATTGCTTTGGGCAGCTCTGGGGAAGTACAGTATATGATCGATCTGCATCACCAGTAAGAAAAAAACATGCCTGAAAATTGAGGATATTTAAGAACTTTTTTTTATTAATTTCATTAAATTTAAATGTGAAATACACTAACCTCATGCTTGTGATTGTCATAATCTGGAATGCAAGGGTAAGTGTATACAGTAACATCCTCGAATGCTAAAAGTTTTGCATGCACAGCTGTGCTTTTTCCATCGGTTTCATTAGGGTGTTTAATAATGTCAATTTTCACCGGCAGCTGAAAGTAAACGGAGGAGGAATCACAACCAACTTAATGCAGTTTAACAATTGCACAATCTACGGTACTTACAAGAGGACACAAGAAGATATTAGAAGAGAGGAGGATTAATCTCAGACTTCGCAAAGGTTTTTTTTACTGTGTGAGTAGTCAAAATTTGGAATTCCCTTCCACAATCAGTAATATATGCTGATAGCATTGATAAATTATAGAAAATTTTAGATGCGTTTGAGTCCTTAAATATACAGGGATATGGGAACTACTAGAGTCAAGCATATACATACACACACATATACATAGGTTGAACTAGATGGACCTGTGTCTTTATTCAACCTTACCTACTATGTTACTATGATATATAGAAAATATTAAACCACTGAACATAAAGCAAAAGAAAATGTCAAAGCCTCAGAAAACTTTGCTCTTTAGTGTTGAAAGTGAGCCTGCACTAATATACAGGGATGCACCGATAGCGATACTAGTATCTGTGCCAATGCCGAGTATTTGGGCGAGTACTCGTCCAAATGCTCTGATGCTTAGCCCGATACCTGAACTTCAGGTATCAGGAAGCCGGGCAGTGAGTCATTACATGCTGCCCGGCTTCCTGATTGGCCAGTAAGCTGGTTCCAAGCTCCGTTGTTGCTGGGCAGCATGTAATGAATTGCTGCCTAGCTTCTTGATTGGTCGGAAAGCCGCCCAATCAGGAAGCCAGATGGCGGGTCATTACCCGCCCCCCGGCTTTCTAAATGGCCAGAAAGCCGGCTTCATGCTGCCTTGTCACCTGGTGACGAGGGAGCATGGAGCCAGCTTCCCGGCCAATCAGGAAGCCAGCCACCATGTAATGACTTGTTGCCCGGCTTCCTGATTGGCCAGGTTCTCGACCAATCAGGAAGCCGGGCAACGAGTCATTACATGGCGCCCGGCTTCCTGATTAGCCAGAAAGCCGGCTCCATGTATTTTATGACGCGTAGGTGTTGGGTTTTGGCACTTTTGTCAGCCTAGAGAGACTTCTTGTGAGATCTGTAACCCATTATTTATAATGTGAATAAAGGTTTTTACAATTTTTGCAAAATTCAGATTACAGTGGAGTACTTAATGCTCTGATATTTGCTCTGGATCTGTATTTTCACTGGATCAATATAAGAGCCAGATAACTAGCATTTCCAGAAATTACAGCCTCCATATATCCTTGGCACAGGTTTCCTGTAAGTAATTCATTCACAATGTACAGGGATATCACCTCCCAGATTGAACATTTGAGCAATTTCTACAATATTTAAGCTGTACATAATAAACGCATGCATCATATAAATTTCGGTATGTATGCAGAATCACCAAAGTTGTCCTGTCAGGGGAAAGGAGGGAATATTGGGATAATGTGGTCCAATAGGTCACATTTTGAACAGTATGCAGCCAGGATATCCAATTCTTCATTTTACAGTCCAAGGGGTAGCCACCACACTCTGTTTATAAGTTCTTACCCACAAAAATATATATACAAATCCAAAGTAGGTATAGAGGCACTCACAGGTGTTGTGCCGCAACAAGCTCTGTGACTGCCTCTATACCAGGGGTGGCAAACTCGGGGGCCTCCAGCTGTGGTGTAACTATAAAACCCACTTGGCATTGCATGACTGACAGCTATAGGCATGACTCCCTGAGGCAAATGCATGATGAAATTTGTAGTTTCACCAAAGTCAGGAGGACCAGAGTTTGCCTATCCCTGCTCTATACTTACTTTCAATTCTCCATTTTATTTAGTGACCAATTTAGGGTGTCAGCAGCTTAGATTTTGGTGTTCTGTACACAGGAAATCGTTTATCATTTATTTATTAGAGGTATTTCTACAGAGCGGACAATTTTTACGCAGAACTTTATATAGTTACACATTCATATCAGTCCCTGCCCTCAAGGAGCTTACAATCTAAAGTCCCTATCTCACAAGCATATAAATGGCTGATTTAGAAAGGAGCCAATTAACCTACCAGCATATCTTTGGATATATTGAAAGATAAAGCTATCTGAGGGCTTGTTCACACCAATTGCAGTGCGTTCCAGAGTGACAGCTCCTGGAACGCACCGCAACCGCTCACAAAAATTCCCCCTTCGTTCTGCCACCACAGCCACGCCCCCCCAGTGCGACCGGATGTGTGGCAAAACATTGCCTGCGTTCCCGTCCACTGCAAACTCAAAAAAATGCTGCATGCTCTATTTTTTTGCGTTTCCAGTGGAACGTAACGCAAATTTATAAATGTTCTGATGTATGTTTTTGTTTTCAAAGCAGCAGCATGACCACGGTAAGGCCATACCACAGCTTAATAAGTGGGCCCCTAAATGTTACTGTTGCAGATAGTTGTTTTGGTTGCAGTACATGCAAAACTGAGTAATCCAGTAAAGGTGATAAAATGCATAAACTGAACTTGGTAGGACTTCTGGAGGAATAAGATAATCTATTCTTACAAAATGATTAGACAATGACCAATTAATGTAAAATCCTCTCATATGCATATGACTGCACAGGAATGAAGAAAAAGAACAGCAGTATGCCTACCTTCACAGATGGGATTTCACCTACAGGTACACTTTCTACTGGCACATAGCAAGTATAACAATAAAACATTCTGGAGCCTTTACACTTTGGACATTTTGATCTTCCCTTCTTTTGGGCTACTTCAAGCACTTCTTGAGAGGAGACTTGTAAATTTTTCAAAAGGTCGTTTTCTGAGGATCCACAAATATTTATCATTTGTTTCTCAGTTGACATTATTTATGCAAAGCATTTGGCCTACAACATAAAAAAAAGGACATGTGATGCATTTTGTAAATAACAGCACCATTTAAAATACACTTCAAACACCAGCAGACCCAAAGAGGCTGCCACAAACAAGATTAGAGAAGCCTGCAAGCAAAACATAGATAATGAACCACTGGTTGGAGATCCCTGTGCAAGTCACTGAGAAATATACAGTTATACCTCACACACATGGTTTGCACATTAAAGTGATATTAAAGTCAAAAGGTATTTAAGCCATTTCAAATGATTAAATCACTAACAATGGATGCTGCTTCTTTATGTGTATTCATTTTAGTTTCCTGCATAATCAGCTGGTCCCCTGAGCACTGACCCTGATATCCTGTTTTAAGGTGGCTCCTTTCCCTTGCAGGGTCGTATGGACACCCTTGTGTGTACTAATAAGCTCAGTGTGTCTCCACAAACACACAGTCACAGCAAGGCAACTCAGTCCCCTGCTCTCTGCTCCTCCTTACCCTCTTCTCCCTTCTTCAAGCTAGTAGAAGGACAGCTGCTGGAGACTGCTCTGTCCCTTATGATCTTGTACTGGATAGGAAGTGCAGGGAAACCAAGCTGAGAGAGTTGGAGTCAGCTGTTCGAAAACACGATGACTGTAATTGCTTGGGCGAAAATATAAAGAAATACTTTGCTGGACGATGTATATTTGTTTAATCTGGATTCATTGAAAAACAATCTGGGAGTTTAATACTACCTTAACCTCTATTTATGAGGCAGGGGGCTGTCAATCACAAGCACGGACAAGCTGATGGCCAACTAGTTACTCAGCTGATGACAGGGTGACAGCAGCTGCATCTACAGTATCAGTGGCAGTCTGCATTTATTTATACATGTTAGGATTACATGTGGCTGGGGATAGATGACTGTCCCTGGATGTATCTAACCCACATCAAAAGGACACTTACCTATCCAGAACTGCAGGTAATAGCACCATGTACCTGGATGCATTTCGCCCATATCCACAATTACCTATCCAGAACTGTAGGTAGTAGCACCATGTACCTGGATGTATCTCGCCCATATCCACAGACAATTACCTATCCAGAACTGCAGGTAATAGCACCATGTACCTGGATGCATTTATCCCATATCCACAGACAATTACCTATCCAGAACTGCAGGTAATAGCACCATGTACCTGGATGCATTTATCCCATATCCACAGACAATTACCTATCCAGAACTGCAGGTAATAGCACCATGTACCTGGATGCATTTATCCCATATCCACAGACAATTACCTATCCAGAACTGCAGGTAATAGCACCATGTACCTGGATGCATTTATCCCATATCCACAGACAATTACCTATCCAGAACTGCAGGTAATAGCACCATGTACCTGGATGCATTTATCCCATATCCACAGACAATTACCTATCCAGAACTGCAGGTAATAGCACCATGTACCTGGATGCATTTATCCCATATCCACAGACAATTACCTATCCAGAACTGCAGGTAATAGCACCATGTACCTGGATGCATTTATCCCATATCCACAGACAATTACCTATCCAGAACTGCAGGTAATAGCACCATGTACCTGGATGCATTTATCCCATATCCACAGACAATTACCTATCCAGAACTGCAGGTAATAGCACCATGTACCTGGATGCATTTATCCCATATCCACAGACAATTACCTATCCAGAACTGCAGGTAATAGCACCATGTACCTGGATGCATTTATCCCATATCCACAGACAATTACCTATCCAGAACTGCAGGTAATAGCACCATGTACCTGGATGCATTTATCCCATATCCACAGACAATTACCTATCCAGAACTGCAGGTAATAGCACCATGTACCTGGATGCATTTATCCCATATCCACAGACAATTACCTATCCAGAACTGCAGGTAATAGCACCATGTACCTGGATGCATTTATCCCATATCCACAGACAATTACCTATCCAGAACTGCAGGTAATAGCACCATGTACCTGGATGCATTTATCCCATATCCACAGACAATTACCTATCCAGAACTGCAGGTAATAGCACCATGTACCTGGATGCATTTATCCCATATCCACAGACAATTACCTATCCAGAACTGCAGGTAATAGCACCATGTACCTGGATGCATTTATCCCATATCCACAGACAATTACCTATCCAGAACTGCAGGTAATAGCACCATGTACCTGGATGCATTTATCCCATATCCACAGACAATTACCTATCCAGAACTGCAGGTAATAGCACCATGTACCTGGATGCATTTATCCCATATCCACAGACAATTACCTATCCAGAACTGCAGGTAATAGCACCATGTACCTGGATGCATTTATCCCATATCCACAGACAATTACCTATCCAGAACTGCAGGTAATAGCACCATGTACCTGGATGCATTTATCCCATATCCACAGACAATTACCTATCCAGAACTGCAGGTAATAGCACCATGTACCTGGATGCATTTATCCCATATCCACAGACAATTACCTATCCAGAACTGCAGGTAATAGCACCATGTACCTGGATGCATTTATCCCATATCCACAGACAATTACCTATCCAGAACTGCAGGTAATAGCACCATGTACCTGGATGCATTTATCCCATATCCACAGACAATTACCTATCCAGAACTGCAGGTAATAGCACCATGTACCTGGATGCATTTATCCCATATCCACAGACAATTACCTATCCAGAACTGCAGGTAATAGCACCATGTACCTGGATGCATTTATCCCATATCCACAGACAATTACCTATCCAGAACTGCAGGTAATAGCACCATGTACCTGGATGCATTTATCCCATATCCACAGACAATTACCTATCCAGAACTGCAGGTAATAGCACCATGTACCTGGATGCATTTATCCCATATCCACAGACAATTACCTATCCAGAACTGCAGGTAATAGCACCATGTACCTGGATGCATTTATCCCATATCCACAGACAATTACCTATCCAGAACTGCAGGTAATAGCACCATGTACCTGGATGTATCTATCCCATATCCACAGACAATAACCTATCCAGAACTGCAGGTAATAGCACCATGTACAATTACTGGCAGACTGCCGCTCACAGATGTGGCTGCTGTCACCCGGTCAGTAACTTGAATGGGCACAGCGGCTGCATCTGAAAGGAGACATCTGGGATTTATGGGGCAAGCGCCTAAAGATTCCCATTACGCAGCATAAGTCCCTGTGGTCAATGAGGCATATGCTATATTAGTAATGTATTACTTCTCAGGGAATTTAAAAAAAAAGAAGTCAGGCTGTGTCCAGTAAATATCTGGCTGGACTAACCCCACTTGTGTTGCGTTTGGCTTGATTCACTGGGAAACTGATACTTCTGGGAGTAGTGATCTCCTAGGTATCCCACAGCTTTCACTGACTACTCATGCTGACCTCCAATAATGACCCAGGACATCGACACTCCCAGACGTGTCAGTTTCCCAGCTGGCTTTAGGGGGCCATTTATCCAGATTGAAGTAGTATTAGGCAGTAGGAAGAGCAAGTATTTCCTTTATTCTATTACAGCTCTACCTTGCTTGAATAACTTTGTTATAGAGACAAGGTCACTTTTTTTTCACAGTTCAATTTTTACATAAAACTGTCAACTTTTGTAAAGGAACAGCCAATCAGGAATGTTTAAACCTCAAAGTGTTCCAGACACTTTCCAACAAATGTGCTGTTCACTTTGCAAGGGAATTTTCACTTAGCTTAGTGAATGTGGTGAAAATTCAGTTTACAAAGAATACCCAATCACATGCAAGTAAAATAAACAAAATAGTTTTTCTTGCAAATGATTGGATGATGGAATTCAGTAAAGTTTCACCTCAATCACTAAGCTAAGGGGAAATTCATTTGCAAAGTGAAAAGTTTTTTTGCATTTAGTAAACCAACCCCTGCATGTCCAATGCCTTTTAAGTCCCATTCACACCTGTGTGCTTTTCTGCATTTACAAAGTAGTTCTTAGGTGCCAATGCGCATAACCTTTTGCGCATGTTAGATCAGTGGTTCTCAACCTATGTAACCTCAGGACCCACATTTGTCCTTAGTCATTAAGTCGCAATTGCGATGGAACACACGGCATTAGGGTACCGCATGTTCTGGTGCAGGTGTACGAACTGTGGTTGGGAAGTGCGTTTGGGGTACCATCCAAATGTATGGCGACGCAAGATCTCCCATAGCAGAAAGTACGGTAGGTGCGATTGCATGGTACAGTGCGTTAACGCTATGCGAGTAACGCACTGTGCTAGTGTGAACGGGTGCTAGTGATGAAAACGAGCATTTATACCCTGAGTGATGAAACTGTGCTAGTGATGAAAACGAGCATTTATACCCAGAGGTAGCCCTAGTGCAAGGGTTAATAAAAGTTTTGCCCGGAGATCATCAATAAAAGAAAGCTTTCATATTTCCATTGTTCCAAATGTGCCTGAGGGAAAAAAAAGCCACTTGCATTTTTGTGTTAAGGTGCCCACACACCTTACGATAATCGCGGGAAATCCCGCGATCGTACGATTATCATAAGGTATAAAAGGCATGTGAGCCTTTGCCTCTGTGCAGAAGCGGCCAGCCGAGGTTAAAAGGAGGGTAACGGGAGGACACAAACTAGCGTCCTCCCGTCACCCTAAGCTCAGTATACTGAGACGCCGGAGCGGATTCCAACTTAGACGACGGGATCCGCCCAGCTGCGTGAGTGACAGCTGGCTCTGCCTATCCAGAGGCAGAGCCAGCTGTACCCGCCCCCTCCCCCGTCCGTTCCGCCAGTCAGAGGGGAATCCAGCCCCTCCCCCTGTCACGGCAGAGAGCCGTGACAGGATCGAGAGGTGAGCGAACCTGGTATGTGTTCGCTCACCTCCCCATCTACTGAGCCGACCTGTGACAGTCTCATTGTCACAGGTCGGCTAGAACTATGAGGTGAGTGGAAATCACTCATCTCATAGTTCTCCTTTAAAAGTTTTCCGGAGGGCTTGGCAGCGAC